GATATTTTCCAAATTATCCATAAAAATCTCGGCTAAGGACTTTTTCCATAATCAAACCTTCTTTAGGGATGTAAATCTGTCCATTAAATTCAAAATAATTTTGGTCTAAAGATACTATTAAGCAATCTAATAAATCTTGTTTCACCAATTCGTTAACCTGTTTCCTAGTGAAATCTACTAAATCTATCACATCCATAGGTGGAATACTAGGAAATAAGTTTTGTACATCCGAAGACAATAGTGTTGCGTTAGAAGGGATTTTGATATCTTTAATTTTGTTGATTAAGTCAAAAGAATTTTTTATTGCAAATTTTGGTTTAAAATCTGTATGGAACTTTAAAATATTTACTAATTTTGTTGAGAGTTTAACTGCTGGAGCTGTTACATAAGACACGACTGGTCTAATGGGCATATCTTGTTTATGTAATTTAACTAAAGAATATAATTTCGGCGGTTGTGGATTCATAATTGTTAAAAAACTACTTGTCTTTGTCACCAAATAGTGTGGAGTTGATGCATTGGAAAAGTTCTGGTTTAAGAAAATTGTTGGTTTTTGAAATAGATTCTGGGAGATCGATAGCTATGACTCTCTTCCCTTTATCTGAACGCGTAAATATTATGTTATTTTCAGAAGCTTTGTTTTTGATAGTTTTTACTAGTGATATATGAGAAAACAGAGTACAACAGGTACAGAGTAAAATGTGAGCCGGTTTCAGCTTAGCTCTGAAGAAGCCAACAGGATGTTTGACGAAACATTGGCAAGTTTGACTAAACAATAACCGACACAGGAGGAACCCAGAAATTTTGTGAAAAGTATTACAGTACCCTGGGGAAGTTTCTTTGAAAAATCTGAATGCTATCGTAGAAAGTCATTGTCAAGTGCCATTTTCTCTCAGTAGATGGCTAGGAAATATTGCTGGTCACCTTATTGCACCTTGCATTCTGCAGCTTATGGTCGATCTAGGTTTTTAGAGCAGCTTCTCGCGTGTTAAGAAGAACTTGTGAATGTTATTAACTGGTTTAGTCTGAAACGATAATCATAGATAGAGATAGATAGAGATAGAGCATATTAGTTAGCCACGAGATTTAGAAAAGTGTTTTTACAACTGAAGAGAGAGGCCTATTGGCAGATGAAAGTAATGTTTGCTTTTGCTTCATATCTTCTGTGTGTAATTCTCTTCTGCTTTATGAACACAACTACTAGCTCAATGTTCAATCATGATAGATATAAATTGCACTTATTAAAATAAAGATCTATACACACTTTTCTTTCAGATATAGAGCACAATAATTAGGCAAATTTCACCAAATAAACCAACAAATAAACCAACAGGGTTTGTGTAAAGAAAGAACGAACATGGGCAACCATGTGGAGAGACGGAAAGAGAGGTTATGTTACATTTTTCGTGTAGGCCGTATTTTGTTTGCACGCCGCAAGGCAATTTTCGTATAATTTAACAATAAAGGCATAGAAAAAAAGAGGATTTATACACTATTTTCATAAGAAAGTTTTGGTTAGTTTGTTAGTTTGCCGGGTTTAAAAAAACCATACCTCTATCATACCCCTTCGCATTTTCTGTCCACGTATTTAGAACGGCAGAAAAACTTTGGAAAACTCCCCCGTATAGATATTTATTTTAACTACACTTCTTAGGTACACGCGGAGGTACACAAATTATATGCAAATACGGTTTTCCGGTCTTCCCTGCAAATAAGATTCCGAATTAAAAGCAAACAGTGCGGGAAATATGTACATTAATTTCCCTTTTGCCCTCGCGGAAAAGAAATGTCATGAATATTTCACTCCTTTCATTACTCCCGGCTGTTTCAAAGAGCGTAAGAATAAGCGAGAATATTGTTTTAAACGTTGATGGGAATTTTCAAAAGCATGAAAAAAATTTCACCAGCAAAACGCCATGATATGTTCAACCTAAAAAGAGAGTTTATGTATTTGCTGTCAAAGTTAAGTGTATATTATGTGTATGTGTATATCTGTAAATGAGCCTTTTTCTAAATAAAAAAAATCTGCAGCTAAAGCATACAAAACCGAATACAAAAAAACTGTAGCAATAGTGCAAGTATCATCTTACTTTACAGTATAACAGGTGCTTTTTTTTTTTCAAAAATACCAAAAATTTTGTGGCTTGCTAGGATTTCTCAAAATGAAAAAAAGGCAATAGGAAGTATCGACAACTTAATATTAATATTAAATTTTGTAACTTAAGTATCTACTCTGCTTCAACATTGAAATCTAGCTCCTCCACGTTGAATCCATCTACATGTTTTATCGTCTAAGATGCATCATTTTGTAGAATTTCTTAAGATTCTCTTCAGAGATTGTTTTACCATTTGGCCACAAAGGCACTGGAGATATGAAAGGTGAACTAATGGTTGTCGTTGGTCTTCCTCTTAGATTTTTTTTATAACTTTTTTAACTAAGACTATAAACGGGTCATTCTTTTGTAAATTCATCGATGTTTCGATTTAATCGATATTTTTTTCAATATTTGAAAAAGAGATTACAGTATTTTGCAAAATATAAGGAAGGAAAAGAGCTCTTTTAATATTATTGTTCTGACCCCCACACGAGTCGATCCACACGACACACTTCTCGAGACCCTTCGACACGAAAGTAACAATATCCGTGATCTTCTTTACCGTTGCGAATTCCAGCGTTAGAGCTGCGTTTTATAGAAGACAATATTCGTGGTATTCGTGGTAAAGTCAAGCACTCATATTCATCACTGCCTTCAGCTTTCTCAAAACCTTTGCGCAGTGCGAGCTTCATTGGCTAACTCTAAATGTTGCTATTTACAGTTGAAATTGCTAACGTTTCGACAACCATCCTGTTGGCTTCTTCAGAACTTAACTTCTCAGTTTTAGTTAAGCTACCATTTCACTGGGATGTCATAGGCAGATTGCGAAATGCAAATTGTATCCAACCAAGTGGCTTGAAAGTTTGAGTCTAGAGTCGACGTTGGGTTCGAAATATGTTGCACAATAAAGAGGTACGAGTGCTACCTTTTATATTTCGGGATATGTAATAAAAAACTATAAGCTATGATCTGTTCATAGATATAAGAAAGTGATCAATTGTTTTTGAATGGAATTATCCAAGGGTGGTCATTAACATACAATGCAACAAGATTATTACCTAAAGTTTCGGAATTTAAATTCGGGTAAAATTGTGGTCCGTAATAGAAAATAATTTTATTGCTACCTGTGTTTAATATTCTTTGGTTTGGTATACTACTTAGTTTAACTTTATTAGTAATCATTCTTATTTCGTATGTAATACAGCATGTGTTGAATCGTCTGCGAATTATGCAAAATATGTGCGAGTCTAGTGTATCTCAGGAGATGCTCCCGCCCAAATGTAGAAAGCACTATTCTATTGAGACTAAGGAAGTTATAAACAATGTTTATATGACTCTTATTGAACGTGGTGCCAGCAAGAAAGCATCTTTAGAAGAAACGTCCACATTGACGAAAATTCCAACATCAACTGTATGGAAAATTTTTGAGTGAAGATGAAAGTGATCAAGATAAAATTTACCATATACCAGGAACAAAGCGTGCCTATATTAGATATCTTAATTAGGAGACTTAAAAAAGATGAAACCGGTGTTAAATGTGGCAGAACTACCTTATGGAAGTGTATTCAACACATGGGTTTTAGATTTAAAAAAATTGACAAAAGGCAAGTTTTAATGGAATCTTTTGGAATTCGGAAATGGCGACTGGAATATCTAGAAAAAATTAGGATTTACAGAGAACAATAAATGCCAATTATTTATTTGAATGAAACCTGGTTCGACAATTGTGATACCCCTGAAAAGGGTTGGGTTGACTCAACTGATAAGTGTAAAACAATCGCATCATCAAAAAGAGGTAAAAGAATAACTATTTTGCATGCTGGCTCTAAAGATGGTTGGATTCCAAATGAACTTTCTCTGTCTGCGAAAAATCATGAAGACACCACCTCTGATTTATTTGAAAGTTGGTTTAAAAACAAACTAGTTCCAAACATTCCTCCTAATAGCGTCATTGTAATGGACAATGCAAGTTATCACAGTAGACAGTTGACTAAAACCCCTTTCTCATGTGACATAAAAGCAACAATCCAAAACTACATGTATAATAACGCCATTTATTTTCACGAAGATTATACCAAAAAGCAATTAATTGAGGTTCTACAAAGCTTGAACCTACAAAAGTTGGGCAAATTCTGTTAAACATACAGAAAAAGCAGAACAATATTGCAAATAATATAGAACAATTATGTGAATAATTTTAAGTAATTTAAGTAGGTAATAAAAATAATTTGTAATTTTATTTCAGACTTAAACATAAATACATGCATAAATAAATAAATATTGTTTAGTATTTTTCCTAACAAAACCCCAAAGAAATAAATTGTAAGCAAACTGGACGGACCTGTTCGGCCATATTTCATTCTTACAGCTTGCCCGGTCTTTCCTTAATTCGTATCAGTTAGTCACTTTCTTATATCTATGAACAGACTTTACCAACAAATACGATTTCATTGTTTCTCAAAATATTCACCTTGATGATCAACACACTTCTGCATTCGATAAAACCAATCAAAGCAGTTTTCCCACCTCGAGTAGGCCACCTCCAAAACATGCTTTTTAAACGCATCAATCGCTTCTTCTGGTGTCAAAAATCGTTGCCCACGTAAGTTATTCTCAATGTGTCGGAGTAAAAGGAAGTCATTAGGGGCTAAATCAGGACTATATGGTGGACGGCTCATCAAATCAACGTTTTTAATGCTCAAAAAGTTCTTTGTTTGCCGAAAGTCTTCTTCGAAAACTGCGGCACCGCGATTGTATTTTTTCAGCATTTCCTTCGACCAATCAACACGCGAGCAAATTTTTTTAGCGGAAAAATGTTCATGCAAAATTGTATGTATGCTGGTCCCACGTCGATAGCATCCGCTCCAAAAATAGAGAACAAAAAATCTACAACGATGTACTCACCATATACCCTAAGGGCAGCCGGTGGAGTTTCCCTATAACCGACCAAGTTTTGCGCGATGCACTGATAATTCCCTTCGTCGTGTTGTCTGACTTCCGCGATCATCAAATTGCCCCCGTCGACGATCCGTATCCGCCTCCCATCAACGTCCATCTCTTTCCCGTCCTTTTTCCACACCAGATTCGGTTCGGGGTGCCCTTTGGGAGCACCGCATTGAAGCAAGGCCGTTTCACCCGCAGCTACCCTCGTGTCGGTAGGTACGGCCCTGAATTCGTCACGAAGCACTGCAAAAAAAAAACAAAAATCAGACCATCTTCACTACTACCAGGAGAAGTAACATTTTTTGTTTTAAATCAATTACTGTCGACTCTAGTTTGGCTTTATTTTATGAAAATTAACAAAGCACAGTATACTTCAGAGCAAGATTTGGAGTCCTCGGAATAACCCTGATAGATCCGGACTCAGTGCACGGTATGCTGACCTTCTGCAGGAAGGGCAGCATTCTGGACCCCCTCTAGCGCGGTCTGGGGACACAACGGACCGTCTGGGGGCCTAAGTGCTTGGACGCTCCCGCGGGGCGCCCCCTTAAATACCAATACCAATACCAAATACGAGTATACTTCAGTCAGAGAAGTTACGTCACGTATATATTGCTTGAGGGGAGCATATTGGTGACAGGTAAAGAACTGAGTCGCGGTTAAGATTGTTGGTTACTTATAGATTTCTATGGTTTTTTTGATTTTTCGTTGGTAGAAAAATTGATTACATGCAAGTATTTTAGTTTCATCGAATAAAATTTTATTTCGTCAACTGCTGATGAGTTTATTTGCCTTAGTCTTAAGGCTCTTTCATAGTCTCTATTCTTTATTCTTTTACCCCATGTGCCGTAAACTCCTGGCATCTCAAATAGAATTTTGTCTTTGACAGATCGAAGATGTTCAGAGATTTTTGGACAAGCAGTAAATCTGGTATTTTAAGAACTCTTGATAAGTGGTCAGCGATGTTTTTAATGTAAGGAAGGACCACAGTGGCAAGTGTAGGATTGCTTTCCGCCTCGTTGCTATTGGAAGGTTGTGGCTTAATACCTTTAATGTGGAAATTATTAGAAAGAAGAGCTCGTTTTACCTATATACAAATAAAAAAGAAATGTGAATGTGAAATGTGAATTCCGCCACCCTCACAGAAAATATTTGGCTCGTTTGACGCAGACGACTCGTAACTTTGTTGAGGTTCGTGTTACCACCGAAACATGTAACATTTCATGCGCGCACATTGCCAAGTTTTTTCCTCTAAACCAGGCGTAGTGTTTCCATTACATCGAACGATCTAATTATACGATATTAAACGTGCATGCCTCGCGCATAATGAAAGCCGAACATAGTTATTACGTTTAATCTGAATGTAATAAACGCCACGCGGAATATTTGTAAAGTTTCCCTAATTACTCTATTTAATTAGAGGCATTAAATAGGGATTCGGATGCCGGCCCGCTGCTGTTTGGACGGTTCGTTAACGCATTCGTTTTGTCGTTATCTCTATTCAATTTGACGTTACGTATATCACCATGGCAACCAGAAAGCTAAAGAAAAATAGTGGCAAAAAGATAGAGGTAAACGTATCTTATCCGTATCAGTAATTATTAACAGATCGTTGCTCACGTTAAACTTAAGTTAAATTTTTATTTCTTAAAAATTTAATCTTAATTTTGCCATCGCTTGACTTTGGATATCCTTATATTTCGTCCGTGGAAAAAGATTCATACTGCATTTCATTGAGCACATAGCGTTTATCCCACGAAGTCAAGCAAATTGCAAACAGTGTATATAATTATATGACCTGACCACGTTACCGTTGACGTCTGCCAAAGAAATGGTGTCAGATCTTATTGAAAAGAGAAAGAAAGAAAGATTACAACATGTATAGTAGAGTTTGAGGTCTATCGAACTCTTTACTGAAAGAATAAAATGTTGCGCTGCTGATACCTACTCAGCTCATACGTTTGGACTTTCTAGCACTAGAATTAGAACCAGCACTAGCTGACGAATTCATATGAAAAGTCAGGACAGATAGAACTACTACAAAACACAAGTATCACCGTTGGTCGATCAGAGGGAGACGAAGACCACATCGTAGCAAACCAAATCACTTCTACGAACTGCCCAAGATTTACGAACAGAACACGACTTTCAGGCCGATTCGCTGATACCACATACCACACCAGAATGTTATCAAATACGTCATTCAAAAATCCAGGCAGTTATGGAGAAGAAAGTGACCATCCCATGTGTCAGAGGATTCCCAGATCTCTCCGCTGCTCACTCATTGAGATGAGCAAGACTGATTTATACAGAGTGACACTGGTACAAGAGGAAATTCAAGGAAGCACAGTGAAAATCCCTAAGCTGAAATAGATCGATGATGGATGCTACTAGTTGCAGGTATCAAGCACCACCAACAAAGGCGTCAAGCAACACGAATCAGTAGTCAGAAGTATAGAGCGCAACGCTGATACAAAAGGAAGTTCAATGTAGCAGTTTCCATCTATGATGGCAAACTGGGCTTCAGTAATCCATGAATTGAAGTAAGCAATCCGTGGATACCACTAGTGGGGTTGCTATGTGGTTGTTTTTATCACGTTGGAGACTAGCACGGCAAGCTTGTCTTTTTACACTGCCTGCTAAGCAGTCACACGCTCCTTTGCATTGAGATGTAGCGAAAAATATCCAATCAGCATCAACACCAAAATCAATTTTTATGATTAACTAAATTGGCAAAATTATATTGACTAGGCCACACGTGGCCAACATACGGCCCGCGGGCCACATCCGGCCCGCGTAATGAATTTATGCGGCCCGCGAGCAATTTTTCAATATTTACGTTTGCCTGACACTCATATAGTATTAATCACGTAAATTAAAAATATTTCTGGTTTTTCATATGAATTAAACTTTTCGTGCCTATTTGTTATCTGTAAACACACTACAAACTCTATAATCTATGTATTTGAAGTTGAACAGTACGCCAGTTCATTCAATGCTTTCCGTAAGTAGCAAACTTGTTAGTAATAACTTGGTCGCTTGGAAGTTCGTGTTTCCCTGGCAGACACTTGGTGTAACCCTGGCAGACGCGTGCGCGACCCGGGGTAAGCCTTATTTCTACTAGAAATAAGGTCCACCGAACCTGCGCGTCCCCCCACTAGGGTTATAAATATCTTAAAATATCTCTAGTAGCCGGTTGTTATATATATATATATATATATATATATATATATATATATATATATATATATATATATATATATATATATATATGATGACACTATACTCCGGGATATCATCCGTTCGCTCGTTGAACTCCGACTGGAATCCTGCATCCGACTGGAATCCTGCAAATCCTGCATCCGACTGGAATCCTGCAGACGTTTCGAAAACACTTCGGAGCGCGAGCATTGAAGATGCCAAGTGAGATTTTGGCGAAACGTCTGCAGGATTCCAGTCGGATGCAGGATTTGCAGGATTCCAGTCGGATGCAGGATTCCAGTCGGAGTTCAACGAGCGAACGGATGATATCCCGGAGTATAGTGTCATCACATTTTTCCATCCGTGAATCAATACGTGAGAATATATATATATATATATATATATATATATATATATATATATATATATATATATATATATATATATATATATATATATATATATATATATATATATATATATATATATATATATTAACTTTTTAATTTATTTATTAATTAATAAGGTATGTTATGTAATTTCTGTTTATAAAAAAAATTTTATATTAAGAAATATTTTCATCCCTAGGATGGCTTCTAAAAAACGAAAGGTTGATACAGAGTGTCGAAATTTTAATGATGATTGGAAATGGAAATATTTTTTTACGGTAGTTAAAGAGAAAGCTGTGTGTCTCATTTGTAACTCTAGTGTGGCAGTTTTTAAAGAATACAATTTAAAAAGTCATTTTGATGAGAATTATGCAAACAATTTAAACGAAGAAGACCGAAAAAAACATTTCGAAGATTTGGCCACAAAATTGTCTCGCCAACAAAATATATTTGTAAAACAAAATCGCTTGCAAGATTCGGTGAAGGAAGCAAGTTTTTTAATAGCTAAACGTATTGCTGAATGCGGAAAACCTTTTTCTGAAGGAGAATATTTAAAGAAATGCATGTTGGATGTTTGTAACGTGTTATGTTCAGAACTTAAAAATAAATTCGAAAATATAAGCCTATCTAGGCAAACTATTGCCAGAAGAGTAGAAGATTTAAATGTGGATATAACTAACCCATTATTATATAATATAGAGTCAGCCAATTTTTATGCAATAGCTCTGGACGAAAGTTGCGATGTAAAAGATACTGCACAATTGTAAACTTTTATCAGAGCTATAAATGATGATTTTAAAATCTTGGAAGAAGTTTTAGAAATTTTTCCAATGAAAGATACAACAACGGGCGAAGATCTGTTCCAGGAAATTGAAAAGTGTTTTTTAAACTACCATATTGACTGGAAAAAATTGGTGAATGTTACAACAGACGGAGCACCAAACATGACAGGAAAAAATATTGGAGTAATTAAACGCATTGAAGATAAAATTTTCGAAATCGATCCCGATCATAAAATTAGACCAATACACTGCATTATTCATCAACATGTCCTATGTAAAAATGTTTTAAAAATCGATCATGTTACCAAAATAGTTGTAAAATTAGTAAATTTCTTAAGAGCTAAAGGATTAAATCATAGGCAATTCATTGATTTCCTTGAAGAACTTAATACCACATATTCCGATGTAATATACTACAATAAAATCCGTTGGTTGAGCTTGGGAAAGGTATTAAAGCGTGTGTGGGAGCTTCAAGAGGAAATACGATTTTTTTTAGTGCTCAAAGAAAATGAGGAGTTTCCTGAATTAACGGATCCAGATTAGTTTGGGGATTTGGCTTTCTCTCTAGACATCCTCACATATTTAAACGAATTCAACACAAGTTTACAAGGAAAAAAATATTTGCTTATGATTTAATGCAGAAATTAAAAGCTTTTAAAATGAAACTTCTACTTTTTTCCAAAAATCTTGCTGAAAGCAAATTTGATCATTTCCCATCCTTAAAGACCATTTCCGCAATAATTTTAAAAGAAAAAGCTCAAGTGTATACTGAAAATATTCTGGCATTACGACTTGATTTTGAAAACAGATTCGAATGTTTTAACAGAATAGATAAAATATTGTTAGAAATCCATTTACTGCAAATATTTAAGAA